GGGGGGATTTTTGTGGGAGACAGTTTTCTGGGGCATGAAACTAGTTTCTCACCTTTAGGTTATGCATGATTTTATTTTTTTGGTGGGCAATAACTTGTACAAGGATTTTTTTTAAAGTCAAACACAGGACCTGAATAAGATAGTAGAAGGCACTTGCTCATTATTTGTCCATGGCTCCCCTTGCACAATTTTTTTTCTGCAGTTTTTGTTGTGCAGGATTTTTTTTGGAAATTGCCCAACACCGTCTCAAAAAACTAATGGTCTGTCCCTCAGGTGATGAGGTCCACTGGTTACACTTCACCTACAAAGCATGATGCCCCACTGCTGATCAGGTTAGGTTTCGAGAGCTGTGATTGGTACAATTTGAGATGGAAATAAAAGGGATGTTTGTTTACTCAGACTCTATTACTGTTATCTTACCTGGACACGATTGTGGGTTACAAGCCTGGGTGATAATTTCTGGTCCATCCAGTGAGCAGTCTTTGCCACCATACTGGGGCAAGGGGTTTGTGCAGTTTCTTGTTCTCTTCACTGTTCCACCACCACAAGTGACACTACAGGCTGTCCATGGAGACCACTCAGTGTATCCACCATTTACTAAAACAACACATCAGCTACAGTTAGACTAACATCTAACAAGGGAAATGCTGTGCTTTATCCCATGAAGTAATATATAATAAATAATATAGTAATAAATGTAATGCTGTGTGTTACAAGGTACATTTCCCTTATAAAACAAATCTTGATGGTTTAATACTAAATTAAAATATACTAGATTCTGAACCAATTGAATGTATAGTTAGAGTAGAATGCTCCACCACAGGTTCCTATGTAGCAGCGCTTAATTTGTAACATAACAATTTTCACTTGGTTTTTCACCAGGGACTAGAAATTTCTAATCTTGACATTAAGTCCAAAATATTCTTCTACAAAGAATATCTAATATTTAAAATAATAAAAAATAACTTTAAAATGAATAAATAATAAATTTAATGATAAATATGAACATATAATATATTGTATTAAATAATACAGATCTAACATGAATTTAGAATTGGCAGCCATTTATGAAAAGGATCTATGAAAGGTATATTTCAGAAACTATAGTACCTCCATGTACTGTCCTTTAAAAGTTACCTACTAGAATACTACTAAAATTTACCAGGAGAAGAACTATGTACAACACATATATGTACATGTTCATGGGAAATTTTAAAATTTGATTGGTTAATATATTAGAGCATGCAGACTTTGCAAGGTGTGCAATCTATTTGACTGTAACTAATAATAAATGAATGCAAGTTAACACTTACTTGGGCATGGTATGGTGCCACATTTCTGTGACTGAGAGCCTGGTCCATAAATGCTGCAGTCTTTGCCGCCATTTGATGGAGCGGGGGCAGTGCAAGTTCTTGTTCTCTGCTGCATACCTCCACCACATGTGGCACTACACTGCGAATATGGAGTCCATTGAGTGTAGCCTCCATCAACTGACATATAAAAAAAAATGTTAGGTAGTTTCAGTGAGCCAGAATTATAAAACATGTACTGCCAAATTTCTTACATCACAGATCAATCATCCTAACCAATCATCCTTGTGCTTTCCCACAAGAAAAGTACCTGACTTGTGTCCACTTAAAAGCTACATGAATGTACATAACATATTTTACTGTAACAAAAATTACCCTGTAATTCACAGTATTCCACTTTTGTCAGAATGTCTAACTTACCTGGACAAAGTTGTGTGTTACATTCCCTGGATTCAGTCGTTGGACCATAACAAGGATTGCCTCCATTTTGTGGCACTGGATTAGTGCAAGTTCTCATGCGCACCTCATTTCCTCCACCACAGGTAACAGAACAGGTGGAATAGTTACCCCATTCAGCAAATCCTCCATCAACTAGAAAACATCAGGTAATGCAGTCAGCATCCAAATTAGAACAGTAATGAATGAATAAATTTTTAAGTTGAACTTAATGCTGGTGAAAACCATGTAATGGACTAGCATCCCATTCAAGGAGGAGTAGAAATACTCCTATTCACTTCATGCTACAGAAACTGAGATAAGCTCTGAGCTGCTGGGCCACTTGGCTCATATGCAGACTTCATTATACATGTACATGTACCTAAGTTACATTATTTAATAATCCTAAGTATGTAAATACATGTACTAACATTTAGTAAGATGCTAAAGATGATGTGGTCTTCGACATGATTATCAATGGACTTGATAAGCGGCTCTTAAGCTTGAGGATACTTACATGTACAGTGTATGCATGTATGTTATGGTTCAATTTTTATCTTTACCTCAATTTTTTTCCAAACCAGTTTGATTTTTGTCAAAGGGGATGGGTAGTCCAGGACCAAAAGCTCATTACACCAGCAATTATTGGGGACTACAATGGCAGACTACAAAGGCAGACTACAAAGTCAGAGATGTGTGTGTTCAAATCTACTGGAGTACAAAATCTTCTTGTTGGAGTAGGTATAGGAGTATTATGAGATACGGGATCCTGGTGGGGGTGCGGTAACAGTAGAGACTGCAGGAGAGGGGTGGGTGGTGTGTATACTACTGTTTTAAGAACCCCTCAAAAAGTGAAGAAAAAATTGGTTTAAAAAAAAAAATCAAAGCAGAGGTAAAGATTTAACCACACAATATATATGGCACACTCTTGAAAAATCTATGAAATTTTTTTTTTAGTTTTCTATTGTAATTATTGATTATTTAGCTTTAGATTATTTCTCACTCTAATACAGTCCAGTACTCACCTGGGCAGGGCTGTGTGTTGCACTTTCGTGACTCCACATAAGATCCAGAACAATTCCTGCCTCCAAACAGTGGTAATGGATTAGAGCATGATCGAGTGCGTGTTTGAACTCCTGTACCACAAGTCTTGCTACACACTGAGTAGTTAGAATATGGTGTAAATCCACCATCCACTACAAAAGAGGGGAAAAAAAGCAAAAAAAAAACAGAAACAAATATTAAGAAAAAATTGCTTTTAGGAGCATGTGTCATTGGGAACACCAAAGATATCTTATGGAATTACAACATAGATCCTTTTTAGTCAAAGCTCAACAACCACAGTACTATACCTGGGCATTTTTGTGTGTTACATTTTCTTTTTTCATAATCTAACCCAAAGCTCGAGCAGTCCTTCCCTCCGAGTTTTGGTTCAGGATTGGTGCAGGTACGAGTTCTAATCTGTTCTCCTCCACCACAAGTCTCAGTGCAGTCTGACCAGTTTGTGAATGGAGAGTAACCACCATCAACTAAAATAAAGAGAATTGAATTTTATTTTATTGGTCATTTAATTTTTATAACATTAAATAAATAACAAATTGAAAGCACAAATTCTTACTTGGACACTCTTTTAAGTTGCACTCTTTAGTTTCCACAGGTGGACCAAATGCCGAGCAGTTCTTTCCACCATGTTGAGGGGGTGGGTTTATACAGCTTCTGGAACGTGTTTGTACTCCTTTGCCACATGTCACGCTGCATTGCATGAATTCTGACCACTCACTGTAATTTCCGTCAACTGAAATAAAACATGTGAAATACAACATGCTGAGAACTGATTGATAATAATTTGGAAATAAAAACACAGATCTTGCAATAAGTGATGCATGTAACTGTATTGCTGGGAACAATGTTCACAATCTCACTATCAGTTCAAACTCTATGTCCAGTAATTGTTAAGCTATGTAAAATGCAGATCAGAGTGGAATCGATGAGTATCAAACTACGTACATGCACCACGGTCCCTGGATATATCTATTGAGCAGTAGCCAGTAACAAAAAATATAATTTTCATGTTTAACAGAGCCATAACATTCATCGCGATCAGAAAATAGGTGTAGATTAATTCATATTTTCACATGTCTGCATTATCAAATTACAAATTGCTATGGCAATGTTGTCTTATGATACAATAAACCCCACAATTGTGATTGTTTAAAATGTCAGTAGATACCTAAACCCCACTACAGGTACCACATTAAAGCTTATAGAACTGGCTATCAAACTATAACAAGAATTGTGCAATAAAATGAATTGTCATGACCTCTACACGTGCATGTCTGAATCATCTTTTGGGTCCTTTTTGAAAGCTACAAGTCAAAGGGAGTTTGTTTGTTTGCCCTCATATTTGAAGCTAGAAGCTAGTTTGACATATTTAAACAGCAAAAAGGTGTCTGCAAATTTGTTATTTCCAAAGATTTTTCTACAATCAATCCTATTTTGAGAATGTTCTGGGACTTTTCACTGAAATTGTATATGGCAAATCACTCTCAATGTGTTTTAGTGCTTTTGGTCCAGAAACTGAGGGACAAATTAAATAACCAAAAAACAAAATTCGCTTTGAATGTTAGCTTTCAAAAGGTGATTTGGATGCTTGCAGTTAGAGGTCGTAAAAATTTGACAATTCATTATTTTTATTTCAAAATTCTTGTAAGCTATGGTTTGATAGCCAACTCTAAAAGCTTTAACTTGATGACAGAGGTTTAGGTATCTACAGCCTAAGCTGGACACGTTACATCACTTGGATATGAGACACCTCTAAAGGTATACATGTATGGTAACCTTAAATGGTATACTCGTGAAATACGGAAATAACTTTTGCTGCATTTTCCACTGGTCACCATTTGATTATCTATACTAATTAAATAGGTGAAGATAGAGTTTATTAAACTTACTTGGGCAGTAAAAGGTATTGCATGCCCTTGTTTCATTGACTGGTCCCACGCAGTCCTTTCCATTGTACTGAGGAGCAGGATTATCACAGACCCTGCTGCGAGACTGCACACCTCCTCCACAAGTTGCACTACAAGGAGTGAAAACTCCCCAGTTACTGAAGCCACCATCAGCTGAAATAGCAGAAGTTGCACGTTAACAGTGGTCTGGACAAGCAAGCACAGAGTGGTTTTCAATTGAGAGTCATAAAGCAAAACCAAAGTAATCACTCTAGATGAGTGGGAAAAATAAGTGGGCAACTATCAGTAAACCCTGGATTTTGATTATTTTTTTTAACATGCAATGTTTACTGCATGTAGTCAAAGGTCACTGATTCACATGCTAATTAACAGAGCTCTGAAGGTCACACTAGCAAAAACCACAGAGGTATATATACGTTTACACAACTCAAATGAAGTTATGTTAAAAAAGGTAATTCAATATTCAGCTACAGACTTTTGATCATTGTCCCAAAGTCCCATGATAATCAAAGTTTGAATTTATAAAAAGAACAGCAAAAAAAAAAAAAA